TCGCCCACCCGGACGGCGAGGTCGCCTTCACCCGTGCCGCCGGCACCCATGGCATCGCCCACATGATCCCGACGCTTTCCTCCTGCGCCTGGGACGACATTGTCGACGCCCGTCGGGGCGAGGACCAGGTCCAGCGGATGCAGCTCTACGTCAACGAGGACCGCGACGTCACCAAGCAGATCGTCCAGCAGGCCGAGAAGCGCGGCTGCAAGGGCCTCTTCATCACAGTGGACAATCCCCAGGTCGGTCGGCGCGAGAAGGACCTGCGCGCCCGGCAGCGCGCGGCGAGCCGCGACGGGGAGGCGTGGCACCCCGAGGTGTACCAGGGGACGTCGACGTTTCTCGACTCGACGCTCTGCTGGGACGACGTGCCCTTGTTTCCAGAGCATCACCAACGTGCCCATCGTGCTCAAGGGCATCCAGAGCGTCGAGGACGTCCTCCGGACCGCGGAGCACGGCGTCGCCGGCGTCGTGCTCTCGAACCACGGCGGGCGGCAGCTCGAGTTCGCGCGGCCGTCGCTCGAGGTCCTCGCCGAGACGACGCCGGTGCTGCGCGCGCGCGGGGCCTGCAGGACGGGATTGACGTCTTTGTCGACGGAGGCGTGCGTCGGGGCACTGACATTCTCAAGGCGCTGTGCCTGGGCGCCCGCGGCGTCGGCATCGGGCGCGCCTGCTGTACCCCCTGGGCGCGTATGGCCAGCCTGGCGTCGAGGGCGCCATTCAGCTGCTCGGGGAGGAGCTGGAAGCGGGAATGCGTCTCCTAGACGTCAGGAACGTGGGGCAAGCTGCTTGCTGGCCTGGTCACGGTCGACAGCCTGGCTCGCCAGGGGGGGGGCCCATCGACGGCCCCCGAGAAACACTCTCTGAGCCGCTCGAGGTGACCGCGCCAGGAGCAAGTCGAAACTTTAGACATGAGACACCGAAGACCAGGGCATGAGGGGTGAATCCAAGAGGAAGCAAACGCTTCAGATGAGTTTTTTGTCTTCGGGATAGCTGTCATGGAGCTTCGGCTGTGCGGCTTCGTGGAGTGAATCCACAGGAGGATCGCCGACCCGCCTATCGTGGAGTATCAAGGCCCATGTCCTGCGCGATTTTCAAGGATAAGTAGCGCCCAGAAAATGGGGCAGTTCATCAAAATCCTTCCATAGTGTAGTTGGTTCATCACGTTCGACTGTAACTGGCTTCCATTCCAATCGAAAGGTCACCGGCTCGACTCCGGTTGGAAGGATCTCACTATAAGAAGCTCAGCTTCTCTTTTTTTTTGTTTTTCCTCGTGCCTTTTCTGTTCTAAGTAGACCTAAACGGGAAATCGCGATGATTTTATGTGTTTATGTAGAAAAATTTACACTACTAAGGGGGGGCCTGTCAGGATGCTCGTCGTGCTGCTCATTGGGACTTGACAGCCAATCTTGATCGCCTGCTCCCCAGTGCGAATTGTTCGCTTGATGATGCACGTGCATCCGGAAGTAGCGCTGCGAGCGAGACCTTAGTCTGCTCGACCCGTAGAGCGCATGAATCTTGCCTGTCCCGATGCGACATCAACCGCCTGCTCCTTGCCGTCTACCACCTTTCTGGGAGCAAGGCACGGTCCCCGGCCGAAACAAACCACTCCACCGGGACTGACACCTCCCAAGCTTCACGTCACGGTGTCACGCCCTAGGCTCTCAGTCGGCAGCAGAGTATAGCTCTCATGAGGCTAGCCACGGTCAGCCAGTACCAAAAGTGGAATACGGGCCAGCCGACCGGAGGCGTCCCCCGCACCGGCCGAGAATAGCGGCCCTGGTGACCCACCCGAACCCGGCGAAGCGGCGCCCAACCCCGGGTCGACCGAACTTTACGACCATGACATTTCCACTCCCTACGGCACACGGAAGAATTCCCAAGGATACTCTACACCATGAAAAGATCTATCACACTATACCATCCTCCAACCTCTCGGCACAACTCTTTCTCCGTCATGCTCGGCTCCTCTCCTTGCTTGTTACCCCCGCATTTCAGCAGCGACACCAGTGAAGAGCCTGTTTCAACATACCCGGCACAGCACCCCTACAGGAACGCAAGGAACAAGCAAAGACACAGCCTCCCGAGCCGATCGCATCGCATCCCACCCCGGAGATCCATGTTCCCCCTCCCCCGCAGATCCTCCAATCTCCGCTTCTCCCCTCCCTTTCCATCCGCTCCATACCCCAGATCCCCGTCGTTCTGCGCGCCAGCGATGCCCCGCGCCTCCTCGGGCCCTGACTTACCCCGACTCTCTCCTCTCGTC